ATTTGCTGAACTTTAAAATATTAAACAGACTCATAAGATTTAGCAAAAAGATTTTGGAAACTTGTAGAATATCCTTATTGTTTTGTTTTTTTTTAAGCCCATGTTGTAATTTTGAACAGGTTCAATTGACTCACTGCTAGGAAGGACAAAAAAATGTATTTACATGTTTCGCTTCCTCTTCTAATCAAATTATGTAATTTGGTCTGTAACATGATTTCCACAGTTAATTTATCTTAATTCTATATTTAAAAATAGATTTATGCTCACCACCATGGCTTCTACCATCGCTTCTCCACTTGCTGGAGTCAAGAAAATAGGGATACGTTCCCCCTAAGAAAGCCTGTGGCATAATCCGGAGTTCTTTCTGGTTTGAGGAGCGCCTCTGTCCTTGACGACAATGTGGCCTGGCTGTTCTCTGTCCTACTTCCCTTCTCCCCAGACTTTGTTGCAGCTGTGTTTTGGTGGCAACATGTGGGGCAGCCAGATTCTTTGTCTTTGTGGGTGACTTGCTCTTTTGAGGGTACCTGGGAAGGATTTTTTTGTTCCTCGCGAGGCTGAGCCTTGTGTGCACCGTTCTGTCAGTTTTTCAGGCCCTTCATATGCGATTCAATTCTTCATTGTTTTCGGGGGAACTTCCTTCCGTTGGATCTAATTATTTTTTTCGATTCTACTTATGGGTTAGATACTGCAGGGATACGAGTTTTCCTTATGTGCTTGTCCTCTTGTTCTTTGCCTGGTCTTTTTTTCCCTCATGATGTTAGCTCTTTTTCACCTGGTGAGTACCTCTAAACTTTCCTCTATGAAATGTGATAGCCAGCCTAGTTTATATTAGTTCTGTAATTGAGTGGTTTAGTTCTTCGTTCTTTTTCTTGCTTTGCAGTCTCCCCTTATCTGACTCTGTTTTACCCTATGATCTGAGGATTCTTGCTCCGTTGGCTTTGTGTTTTAACTAAGTTTGTCTGTAGTGGGAACTATTCTGGAGGAGTTTGGTTTAGTGTCTTTTCCTTGGATGTTTTCTTCCAGGTTGGGTTTTTCTCTGTTATCCACTTCCTCCCTCCCTCCCTCCTTCCCAGCTTCCCTCCTTTTTCTTCTATATTACATATCTTCTCAGCTGGGTTATATTTAACATGGGCAGTTTAGTGACGTGGTTCCGAGGACAGACTAGAGTCCCAATGCCTAGGATGCAGTCTCGGTCCTTTCATTGATTTGGGGCAAAATACTCTCTGTGTTTTATCTTTTCATCTATAAAATGGAAATAATACTAATTCCCTCCTTATAAGGTTGTTGGGGGGACTTACTGAGTTGAGCATGTGAACTGCTCGGCAGGTGCCTAAGCCTGCTTTTGTCATCACCAGAAGCATCATCGGGACTCCTGATGCGGAGAGTGTCCATGAAGGTCCTGTCCCTGCTTCTAGTACCTTCCGTCTTTCCCCCTGAGCTCCAGCACAGGGTGGGGGTGGGGGAGGGACTGGTGAGAGGTTCTTTTGGGGGTTTACTCTATGAGGTCAAAGGTGTATCCTCTTCCTTGGAATCCTAGTTTGGGGTGCTCTCCCCCTGGGCGGCCTGGCTGTCTTTTGTCACTGTCCTCAGTGCTTGCTGAGCCCTCCGTGCACTTCTGTTTGTGTCAGCATTCGGGGTCTCATGGGCTTCCCCCTGTGGCGGTGAGGGCCAGCCAGTGTCCATTCTGTGCTGCCCCAGAATCCCCGTCCCCACCCAGCCCCCACTTTCCAAGTGTGCAGACTGGGGTTATGCACCTCTCCTTATTGATTTATTTGCTGTTGTTGACCATATTCCTGGCTGTTAATTTTCACCTCTTGTTGTTGGGAACACACAATTCTCTGATCGAAGTTTCTTCTGCCATCTTTTTTCCAGAAATCTTGTGGGGAGCTTTTAAAAAATCAAAGAAAGAGAGAAAAAAACAAAACAGAACAAAACATTCCTGGACCCAACCCTGGACCTTCCATTTCAGAGGGTCTGGGCTGGGGCCAACTGTCTCCTATTTAAAAGCCTTTCTCTGTGGTTCTTACGATCAACTGCGTTTAAATGCAGTGCCCTTATGAAAGGTCGTATATTTTTCTCTTACCTTTTAATTTGTCTCTCTGAAGAGCAAGTTAAGTATATAAAACACTTACAATTTTTCAGGAAGATCCATAAATTTAAAGATGCCTTTTGTGGTTCGTTGGCTTGCTTGTTTTTTTCAAAATAACCTCCTACAAATACGCCTGTCTCAGAGAATAGAAATGGAAGTTGATCTTTTTTTCTGTACGGTCCCGAGAGACCTTCTTTAGACCTGGAGTTCACCTCTAGGCCTCTTAAGCTTTCAGTTTTCGGCTGGCCTTTCTGGGGTGAATTATTCATTGACGCTCTTAAGAAGCGTTTGGATGCTTAGATGCTAACTTGGTCAGTGGCACGCAGTCACCTGACCCTGATGGTCCTCACGGGGTGTCACCCACCACGATCTCCAATCCTGTGTAGGGTTTGACTGTTTAATGGGAATAAACAAAGATGGTTTCACCTGGGTTTCTTCAAGTTCTGTTACCTTCAACTGGATGTAAAAATTATTTGTATGTCTGCTAAGAACTGGAAGCTAAACAGAAAGTGAGGATTAAAAAGAAAACACCTTGAGCCCAGCTGTTGTGGCTCAGTGGTTGAGCGTCGATCTATGACCCAGGAGGTCAGGGTTTGATTCCCAGTCAGGGCACATGCCCGGGTTGTGGGCTCAATCCCCAGTGTGGGGCATGCAGGAGGCAGCCAATGAATGAATCTTAAATAGGGTTTGAATTTAGAAGTGGTGTTTTCCATTGGTAAGCTATAACTAACAGAAGAAATCGTTAATGTTTAAAAAAAACCACGTGCTAAAAGCAGCTCACATGCTGGGCTTTTTCAATACTCTACTCTCCCATAGACGCTGCTCTCAGTGAGTCTGGAGAAGAATCATTGGTTGTGGAGTCCTCCTTTGGCCCTGGGCTCCCCTGTGGCCACCTGAGGGGTTATTTTTACTAAACCTGCCTTTTAAGGAGTGCTGGTGATCAACCCAATTGTACTGTGCTTTCAACAGACAAGATTTCTCTCTTTTGCATTATTTTTTCTCTAAGGCACGTGCTTTCAGAAAATACTGCTTTTCCACATTAAAAAAAAAAAATCTAGATTTATTAGCCAGACTGTGTTCTGTATCCCGAGCATCAGTAGAGAAAGCATGACACAGGTTAAGAGTAGCTCACGTGATAGCAGCTTCAGTAAGTACATTCTTTCGTCGGTTTGCCTATAATGCTTAAATTGTTATAGATTATTTTTAAGTAATTGCAGCAATAGATATTCTCTTGGGTGTTGTATAGTCCCTGGGAATTTCCAGACTTGAAGCGACCATAGAGTTCGTTACACCCAACCAGCTGGGACTCACGGATGAGGAACTGGGAGCGCAGGCTTGCTGTTGACCTATCCAGGGTCACGCCGTCCAGGCTCAGTGGCGCCTGGAGTCCCAGAGCAACGTCCTTGTTACTGAAGTCCATGCCTCGTGTTAGAGGTGAAATCCCATTTCACTTTGCAGAATGTACCATGATCAAAATCGTCAGTTTATTACTGCACCTTTTTGTAGGCGAATCTGTAGATTCAGGGAAAATGGGAGAAATGAAGGTAGCTACTAGAAAAGAGGGATAGCAACACGCCAGAAACAGGACGTGAATGCTGAGCTGCTGCCCAGGGGAGCCCCACTGTGGGCCACCCGTCAGCCTCCCGGCTGGTTCTCCCACTCCAGCTACCCGGCCGGGAGCCACGAAAAGCAGCCGGGGGACCGGTGCCAGTGAGGCACGGTGGTCCTTTCCATGATGACCTCTTGGTCTTTGTGTAAATCTAAGCTGAGTGTTGACAGCACTTGCATTCCTGACCTGGAGATGGGGTTAGGAAGAGACACTAGGGCCATATTGGCTCATCGGAGTGTGTTCAGTGCAAACCTGGGAGGCAGCTTCAGAGGTCTCCTAGGGTCCTGGCCGGGTAGTTCAGTTGCTTAGAGCATCATCAACTCCAAGGTTGCAGGTTCGATCCCTGGTCAGGGCACATACAGGAATCAACCAGTGAATGCGTGAGTAAGTGGAACAACAAGTTGATGGGTTTTTTCTCTCTTTCTCTCTTAAAAACTCAATTAAATTTTTTTTGAAAGGTCCTCTAGTTAATGACTTAGCATAAACATCACCCCAACTTGTCTCTACTGCAGTGATGGCGAACCTATGACACTCGTGTCAGAGGTGACACGCGAACTCATTTTTTTGGTTGACTTTTCTTTGTTAAATGGCATTTAAATATATAAAATAAATATCAAAAATATAAGTCTTTGTTTTACTATGGTTGCAAATATCAAAAAATTTCTATATGTGACACGGCACCAGAGTTAAGTTAGGGTTTTTCAAAATGCTGGCACGCCGAGCTCAAAAGGTTCGCCATCACTGCTCTACTGCCTTAGAAAACTGATTTACTAGCTCTATGGGGGAGCCACCGCCCAGCCTCGACCACATGCCCTTGGCACTGTGATTCTTTTTATTTATTTTTATTTTTTTATTCTTAACTTAAACATTTGGACACAGTGCATGTGCTTCCCTGGAATTTAGAGCAGTGATGCTCAATGGAAGATGACCCCGAGGGCGTGGTGGCCTGGTGAGAAAAACCGCCCTCAGCTCAGTGCTGCATGGAAGCCACTGCGTGTACACACGTGGCCTGTGCTCTCCGTGAAGTCAAGTCGGCTGTCCACAGCCAGGAAGGGGCCAGCTAGCGACCACCCCCGCTCTCTCCGGCTCCACCCGTGAGCCAAGACTCGGCTGTGCAATCCTGCATCGCAGGAGCTTCTTCGCACACGGTCGGGGTGGGAAGGAAATTTGTGGATTTCAGCTGTGGGAGTTTTGCGATTATTTTTTTAAACTTACAACTAAAAGAAAGCACTAACGTCATCTGTGACCCCTGACTTCTCGCTTAGCCCTATGTGAGGTGACGTGTCTGAATTTTTGTTTCAGGAACCTCTCGAAGAAATACCAACCCAAAAAGAACTCGAAGGAGGAAGAAGAATACAGGTGTGTTCATCGATAATGACGTGGCACTTTCTGCGCCACTGGTGGTGGTTGTGAGGAAAGGGGAGGTGGAGACCTACAACAATAAGTTGCATTCTCTTCTCACATTTGTGTCCGTTTTTAAATTGGGGGGAGAGAAAAACAAAAACCGACTCAAGGAACTTTTCTTGTGCTGAGTCACTAGACCTTTTGTGGCTGGTTCCAATGAGGGCAATTAGGAAAAGCTTGGAACAGAATCCAAGCAAGTGCAGGGAGTGTGGATTGTGCGTTCTACAGCAAGCATGTCAAACTCGCGGCCCACAATGAATATTTTTGTGGCCCAGCCAGTATAACAGTATGTCAGAAACGTCTTAATAAAAATTTTGTAACTTAATTTTTACAATATCCTGTTATACAGGATATTAATAACGAACAACAATGTTCGCTAATGACCGATTACTATAACCGTGTTGCATTTATGTCCCTTATGTGCCTTACGCGCAGGCGCACCATTTCTTTCCACTAATACTAGCAGCGAATATTTTAGCAGCCGATGGCCACGTCTTTAGTCTTGTACTGACTTGTTTGGTGTGCATAACAGGAAATATTTCGCTTTCGGAGAACAAGAAAAATAGGTTTATTTGCATTTCGCTTATTAATTTGTGCAGTTATTCAGTGTCTGGTAAGTTAATGTTCAAGAAAAAATATTAATTTTTATTAAAATGTTCTATTATGTTAACGATTACTCATTTATTTCAGCCCTTTGTATTCAGCATTTCTCTATCGAAATAACCCTACGTTTCTATGAAAATTGAAGCTTTATGGTTTTTTTGTGGCCCACATAAACGTAAACCTTGTTTGTTTGGCCCGTGTTAGCCTTTGAGTTTGACATGCTTGCTTTACAATCTTGATTTGGTTTTATAATGTCAAGAGTCTCATTCAGCCTAATTCATCCAAGAAATATGTCCATTTCAGCCAGCGACTAAGGCTGAACATGGACAGTCCCAAAGTATTATGTCTCTAACTTGGGGCTAAATAGCCATTAGGTTCATACATACAGCATGTATATGTGTTTTGGGTTATATTTGCACTAAGTATTTTATTGCCCTGCATAGAGCAGTTCAGTTTCCACAAAATGAAAAGAGTTTCTGTTGTAATTAATTCTGAACCGTTTTGATGAAAACACTCTTATGTGTAATGAATTGTCAGGATCCCATGGGAGGTTGATTTTAATGACTATTTCTCCGGCGTAAAGCAGTGTGAGCACGGATGTGACCGCGTTTGAAATAGGTTCCATGTGTTCTGTTCCGCAGGTATACGGCGTGTAAAGCCTTCCTTTCCACCCTGAACGAAATGAACGATTACGCGGGGCAGCATGAAGTCGTCTCCGAGAACTTGACCTCACAGATCCTCGCGGGGTTAGCACGCTACGTCCAGGAACTGAAGCAGGAAAGGAAATCGGTACAAAGTTTGTTTTTTCTTTCAAAGAAGTGGATCAAAGATAAGGGCAATATCCCTAGAAACCTTAAAATTAAATAGAATCATAAATGGTGGGACTTAAAACTGATTCCTTTGAGAATCGTATAAAAGTTATGGACCTTGTTCCTAGGTCTTTACAATTTCAAGGGCCCCTCAGACACTCTGAAGCACATCTTTGGGCCCCAGAATACTAATTCCTCTGAGGCATTTAAATATATTTGAGCATATCAGTCATACAAGGATAAGCAGTATAAGATGGGGTGTGCTGTGTGGACTAAGTAGTATTAAAATAAATGCTTACAAGGACTTTTAAAAAGCAAGAAAGATGACCTCAGTTCCACCCCCCTGATTTCCTGGCTCATCCATTGCTATCTAATGAGTAGAACCTTTTTGCTCCTCTTGACACCATTAAAATCTTTTCATGGCTTTTATTGTGAACAAGAGAGAAAAATGTATGCTCAGTATATTCATAGTCAAGGTTTTCCCTAAGAGATCTATTTTTAAGCCATGATTTGTATCTTTGAGCTTTGATCGCTTGCTAGGTGCATAATAATTTATTATCAATAAAGTACGAAGTCGGCCAGTGACATGCTTTTTTTAGGTAGATTTGAGCCCACAGAATTCTTTCAGTGCCCCGATGCATGAACCAGAAAGATAGCTAGGGCTCCCACCGAAGTGGAGGAGACGGTAAATAATAATGACCAACATCAATATGTCATTCAGTTCTCATCGTTGCCACAAGTACCAGATTTTTAGGTCTAGCTACTGTTTCTCATGGCTGACTAGAGACAATGTCTTGCTTAAGTACCATCCTTAACCCTCAGTGCAATACCTTTTGGGCCATTTGATACAGTGGCAAAATCCTGTCTGCCCAAAGGGACGATTTCAGATTTACAGCATAGAGCAGCGGTTCTCAACCTGTGGGTCGCGACCCTTTTGGGGGTCAAACGACCCTTTCACAGGGGTCGCCTAAGACCATTGGAAAACACATATATAATTACATATTGTTTTCGTGATTAATCACTATGCTTTAATTATGTTCAATGTGTAACAATAAAAATACATCCTGCATATCAGATATTTACATTACGATTCATAACAGTAGCAAAATTACAGTTATGAAGTAGCAACGAAAATAATTTTATGGTTGGGGGTCACCACAACATGAGGAACTGTATTAAAGGGTCGCGGCATTAGGAAGGTTGAGAACCACTGGCATAGAGTATTTCCAAGCTCAGTTCAGATCCTAGTAGAGAATTATTTTTCATCTCAATTTTGCCGGTTGAAAGAGATGAAGCCCTAACAAGAGCCTGCATGGTGAAATGGCTGACGCTGCAAAAGGGGAGGCTCCCTCCTTCCTGTGTAGATGTGAGAGGCAGTAGGGGAAAGGCAGGTAGTGGGAGGGATGGACATTCTCCTTGCCTTTGGGGCCATAGCATGACAGTGAGTCAGCTGTTTGATGTCGAAGCTTTCAAATTCCCAACCAAAATAGGAGAGTACTAGACACTCATGCTTCTAGGAGAAAAGATGTTTTTCACGCAGCGGTTTCCACCTGTGCTGTATTCATTCTCATATTTCAGTGCTGCTCACTCACATAATAGTATGAATAACCAGTGTTTGTCCTGATACACAAATCTGTAGGCTCGTCTTTGGGAAAATATGTTGACTTTTCAAAGGCAAATTTTTAAAAAGACAATCTTGACTTGCCACCTATGAAAGCAGAGCGTCTAGGTTCTTCCCTGGCTGATGTCTGAGCCACACGTTTCTCCTCGGGGGCAGGAGCGTGGACATGGAGGCCGGTGCTGCTGGCCCTGGGCCTAGGCCTGGGCCTGGGCTCATCGGGGTCCCCTGCCCGCGGCCGGATGGTCAGTGTTTGGTGAAGTTAAGCCACTGAGCATGGCAGTGGGAAGGAGGCTTTTAGGAACTTTAAACAAGTTTGCTGAGAAGGTATTTTTATTATAAATGAATTTGGGAAAATAAGCCTTAAATCAAAGCAGAATGCGACTCCTGTCACGAATGCTCCTGGGTTTATGGTTTCGGACTTAAATGAGGGTGAAATGCTCCTTTGAGCCAGTCTGAAGGTGGCTCACAGTCTTCCTCCCCAGTCCACACATCTCTACCCACAGAGACTTAGCGGTGCATGAATTAACCCCGGGGCAGGCTGAGAAGGGCCAGTGTTCAGACCCGCCGCTCTGTGGGTTTTGAGGAAGTTATAATATTTGTCACAGACATATTTTCTGGATGCTCTTTTTTTCTTTGCCCTTTTCAAGTCTTTGTGTTCCTTTGTTTTCATCTGTGGAATCTGAGTTTTATTTAAAATTCCAGATGGTTGACTGTCCTCAATTGAGTGTTTATTCTTTTTTTCCCCCCCAGTTTTTTTTTTTTTTTTTGAGTGGCTGTTCTCACATCAATGCCATATTTTGCTTTATTAAGGAGTTTTAGAAGTTAATGAACTATTATATTTATATAGTGAAAGTAAACAGCTGTTGTACCTAATTGTGGAGTGAGAATAATAAACATTTGCACACTTTGTTCAGCCTAAGTATGATGTCTCGCAGAGCAGTACTCTGAGAGCTTTGTCACTGTAATTTTCTTTAGGTTAATGTGTGTTTATTTTAGCTTCCCTGTGATTTTTTTTTATCTCAGCCACCCCTGGTCACTGGGAAATTTCTAAAACATTTTTAAAGGATGAATGTGCTTGTGTATGTTTAAGGGTCAGCCAAAGCATTGACATGAAAGTGAGTTTAGCTGTCACCCAGATACCATCAGGCATTTTTGAAAGTCTTATTGTGTTTGGAGAGAAACGAAAGCATCTTATTCCAGGAGAGAGTGGGAGCGTGGCGCTGGGCCTGGGGCGCTGGCATTTCCTGTCTGTCCTCGGAGAGGAGAGCAGGGAGCTGCGATGACCTCACCGGGCCAGCGGAGCGCTTGTTATCTCCTGGAGAACAATCCCTCTTTGTGCGGCCTCGGAGGCACACTTCTCAGTACACACTTGCTCACTGTCCAGAGAAGAAATGTGTTTGCCATTGCTTGTCAGTAAACAACAAACACATCTGGCGAGCGGGTGAGTTTAACTTGTAGCCGTTGAAAACCGCCGCTATCTGGGTCAGGCACGCGCAGGCCCAGGGCGGGCTTTGGTTCCATCGTGTGTGTGTGTGTGTGTGTGTGTGTGTGTGCGCGCGCGCATGCACGCCACATGAGTTTTTGTTTTTTTAAATATATTTTTATTGATTTCAAAGAGAAAAGGGGTGAAGGAGGGAGAGAGAGAAGCTTCAATGATGAGAATCATTGATTGGCTGCCTCCTGCACACCCCACAGTGGGGATTGAGCCCACAACCCAGGCATGTGCCCTGCCCAGGAATTGAACCTTGACCTCTTGGTTCATCGGTTGATGCTCAACCACTGAAGCACGCCAGCCGGGCAGCCACATGAGTGTTGGAGGGGCACATGCTATAAGGAACGATTCAAAAGAGATCACAGACACCTGGGCTTTCCTCACATCACCTGAAGCCATGGGGTCATGCGTGTGGTTGGGGATCCTGCTTTCGTCTGACAGCTGTGGCTCAGGTGTCCTTGGGAGAAAGCTCACAGCAAAGTCAGGGTCCATGCTATGCTTGAAAAGTAAATTCACATTTATTCTAAAATAGTCCAGTGAAGGCGCGACAGGAGGATTCCCCAGGTGGGGTTTCGGTCGGAGCCATCCCTCCTGCTCCCCAAATGGCCAGTGTCTGAAGACTGTGTCCTCAGGGAAGAACCTGTGAGAGAGCAGGCCCTTTCCTGTGGGCCCGCCACTTTCTGCGAGTCCTGTGCGTGCTTCCTGTCCACGCAGGGAGGTGCTGTGCGCGGAAGCCCAGAGCTGGGCACCAGCCTGGAGCTCTGCTCGGGGCTCGGGTGACTCCCTCTGTATGGGTCCGTCTTTGAATCTCAGAGTGAAATTGGAGGGAATGGTGAGACTTTTCTGAAAACCGCATACGTGGTGGTCCCTGCTCTCGGAATGGGGACGATCCTCGGGGCAGTTTGGGAAAGTTGCGTTTCTGGATGGACAGGGACTCGGGATCGGAGGGCCTCGCTGGAAGGGCACAGTGAGCCCGTCTGTCCCGGCCTGTCCCTCTGCCTCCCCGTCTGCCCACATCTCTTTCCCCTGAGCACCCCCTCACCACTGCTTCCCTCCGGTCTCGTTATAAGGGATCTTTGTGGCTTCCAGAAACCTGCTTCCACTTTGTACTTCCTCCGAAGCTCAAGGCTTCCTAGCTCTGCCCGGCTCTATTCCGACTCCCCACAGCCGTGACCCTGTCCTGCTGGTTTATTGCTGCCGTGGACTCGCTCTCTTTTCTGCCGCATCCCCGTGCTGTGATGAGGCTGGAAAAACGAAGCCCAGGGGCTCTCTTGGGTTCATAGACACTAAAAAGCGGCTGGATGGATGCAGCTGGCTGTAAAGAGGCGCTTACAACAGTGAACTTGACCTCACAGGAGGCGAGAAACAGTCCCTGTAAAGAAGCACTGTCTTTTCCGAGAGAACCTGCCCTTCCCCTGCTCCCAGCCTCCCAGCGGTCAGCTGCCGCGTGTGACTCAGCTGAGCCTCGGTTCTGACAGGTGAGGTGGGACTCTGAGGCTGTGCGGAGGGCCTCTGGGCTCCTGTCCCTCCTCACCTGCCTTCCCCGCAGCACCCTCCCCTGCTTACCTGTCCGAGTCACTGAAGGGAGCCCGTGGATTAAAGGGAGCGTTTAGGCCGCTGTGGAGAGGGGCCAGGAAAAGCCATCAGGGATGCTGAGCTCCACGGGCCGCTCCAGGAAACAGGTTAGCTCCGGGCAGCTGCCTCACCAGAGCTGCAGCCTTGGTCAGGGGACCCGGCCGGCCGAGAGCATCTTAGCTGGGGGAGCTGCAGGCGTCCAGTCCCGCCCTCTGATACGCCAGAACCTCTCCATGGCAACCCCAACAGAACCAGAGAGTGAGGAGCCTGCTCACGCGTCCAGGCAGGTCAGGACAACCTCGGAGTCACCCTGACATCTGAGCACATCACAGCCCACATCTGGTCCCATGCAGCCGCACGTCCCGGCGGCTTTCCTGATCAAAGGGCCCCAGCCTCTGATCCTCTGCCACCACCTCTCCTGCACCCCGTGGTCCAGGTGTTTGTCATCTCCACGGGTGGAGAGAGCCTGCCACCTGGAACCTTCTTCACAGCTCGGTGCTTCCGTAGTCCGTCACCCCTGCTCCCCGCTCATTCAGACAAGAAGCCCACAGACCCCCCCAGTCTGCCCCTTTCTTCTCTGACCCCTGGCTCCTAATGTTTGTGAGGCTCACTCTGGTCTAGTCCTCGGGTGTCAACACCGGGCACGTACCTGCCCCAGGGCCTCCGCAGGTAGCAGGTGAATCTACCTTAAATTTTAAAAGTCCTAGGTAATGGAAACATCTGCCTACTCAAAACTTTTACACAAATACTTGTAACTGCATTATTCATAGCAGCCCCACACTGGGAACAACCCAAAGGCCATCGGCTGGTGAATGGATAAACAAATGGTGGCATATATCCATACAGTGGAATGTTGCCTAGTGATAAAAATGATCCGTGTGACACATGGATGAACCTTGGAGAGATAATCTGCTTAGTGAACGTTATGAAGTGATGAGAGCATTATGCCAGTCACGAAAGATAATGTTGTGAGATTCCATTTCCATGAAACATCTAGAAGCGGCGTATCTATAGAAACAGAAAGATGAGTGGTTGCCCAGGCCTGGGGAGGATCTGGGTAGGAGAGTGACAGCTAAGAGGTCGTGGTTTCTTTTTGGGGTGATAAAAATGTCCTCAAATTGATTATAGTGATGGTTGCATAATTGTGTGACTCTAGTAAAAACCATTGACTTGTCAATTTGCACGTATGCATTGTATGGTATGTGAGTTACATCTCAAAGCAATTAAAAATAAAGAGCTAAGTGATTTTTGTCTTAAAACTTCACTATCACTTTTACAAATTGTGTATATAAGTCTTAGAATTCAATTATTATAACATCTAAAGTTTCAAAGGCTACTCTTGGCTATTCTTGTTTTCATTTCCCTTTATTTTTTAACTCTTCGATTTCTTGGGCGTGCACATGCTGGGTGTTCAATATTTAAGTATTATTTTAGCGAGTGGGCTTTTTCTCTCGTGTTGCTATGAGCTGATCCCTGGTGTTTCTCGCTTACAGCACTTTCATGACGGACGGAAGGCCCAGCAGCACATAGAGACCTGCTGGAAGCAGCTCGAGTCGGTGAGTGAGAAGCCAGCAGCCTGGGAAAGGCCTGGGCCGATTTTCTAACTGGAATTGAATTTCAGCTTGAATCAGTCAGTATGTTCAAAACAAACGAAAACACTAAAGAAAACGCCTTGAGAGATTTTTCTAATCTGAGTGTAGAGTGTTTCTAGAAACTTTTATCTGAAGTAAAATGCTGAGCCAAAAGAGCTCAAGGAGAGTGTTTTTTCTAAAAACCACGTGGAAAGAACAAAGATTAGGCCGTTGGTCCTGACACAGACAATAGGGTGGGGAAGGCCTGGGGTACGGGGTGGGGGTGCGCTGGAGGGGGTCATTGGGGGGTAAAAGAGGACATACGTAATACTTGCAACAATAAAGACTTGTTTAAAAATAAATAAAGTAGCGTCCTGAGATTATGACCCAGCAATCTGTTGGGAGAAGAATGCTCTTTGGGGGATTTGGGTAAAAGCCAGTGCTCAGAGGGATCTCCTGGTTTCGTTAGTCACCCCTTTCCCCTCCACCGCTTTCCTCTGCTTCCAGAGCAAGCGGCGATTTGAGCGGGATTGCAAGGAGGCTGACCGGGCGCAGCAGTACTTTGAGAAAATGGATGCTGACATCAACGTCACAAAAGCGGATGTTGAAAAGGTAAGGTGAAAGTAAGCCTGTCTCTCGTTTCCCCTTTTCAATGTTCGTCACGCACCCTCCCGGAGGGTCGGTCCCCAAGTTCTCCTTTCTGATGCAGCCGCAAAAGGCCACTCAACGTGGGATCATTTTCCATTTGTGTCAGCGGCCATGGGGACCTGAAGCTGAAACCTGGGGGCTCGTGGGTGTTGGGCAGTTTGCTTATTTGTTCAGTCACCAGGATGATAACGCGGAGACTTAGACCATGACCGCGGCCCAGGGGTTGGTGTCTGGAGATTGTGGCTTTCACTAATGGCTTTTCAAAGAAAAGCCAACCTCTTGAAACCCAGGGCGGATGTGCAGCGAGAGCTTGGCTGCCTCTGGTGCTTCCGTTCGACAGATAAGGGGGCTCCCGCCCTGGCCTGCTTCTGAGTGAGTCATCCGATTGCTAGCAGGTTGCAGCTGAGGCCCGCATGCAAGTCCTCGGCTTCTCTGAATGCACTGGAATTGGCAACGAGGAGTGTCAGAGAGCTTGCGCTGTGTCTTCTGGCGTTTGCTCCCTCGAAGCTGAATTTTCTTTTTGTGACAGTCATCAATAGGGCGTAAACAAATCAGCCTGTTAAATAACGGTCTTCATTCGTTGCTGCCCAGGGCTGTGCTGGCGGCCACAGCCTCCTGCCCCTCCTGGGAAAAGCCTGCCTTTTCAGAGGTTTCTTTCACTTTTGCCAGGTTCGTTGCAGACAAGATGAGTTGGAAAAGTGTGTGTTAGCTATTTCATTATTTGCCCCTCCTGCCAAATTCCTTGCTTAAAGCCAAGGTATATGTCAGTATGCCTTCCTCTAGAATTATCTAGTACATTAAAATACACATTCTCATTTATTTACTTTACCAAAAGATATACTAATATGCTGGTAAAGTTACTATAAATTACCATAAATTTGTCGTGAGTTCTCCTTAAACAGACAACTTTCCAAACTATAAAAAATATTATTCAGTTACAATAGATTGACCCTGCCCTGGCTGGTGTGACACGCTCTGTTGGTTGAGCATCATTCCGTGCATCAAAAGGTCCCTGGTTGGATTTCCGGTCGGGGCACATGCCCAGCTTGCGGGTTCAGTACCAAGTCGGGAACCTGACTGGGAATCGAACCAGGGACTTTTTGGTGCACGGAATGATGCTCAACCAACGGAGCCACACCGGCCAGGGCTCATTTAATTTCTTCTGACTTTATTTGTTCTCATTTGATATTATGTTTTTCACTTTATTCAGGTGGAATATAGAGCACATGACTTTCATATGTTACTTTTAGAGCCCGGTGCCTTGCTAAACTCTTTTCATTTCTATTTTGACTTTTCTATAGAGACAGTCCTATCACCGGCATAGAATGACGGTTTTATTTCTTCTTTTGCAGTCCTTATGCCTTTTATTTATTTTTCTTATCTCGCTCTGCTGGTTTTGACCTCCATTACGCTGCTAGAAGCAGTAATTGTGGACTCCTTATCTTGTGCTTGATTATAAAGAGGGCTTCAAATGTTTCTCCATTCGGCATGATTTTAATATGCCCTTTATCAGGTTAAGGGATTTCCCTTCTTTTCCTATTTTGCCAAGAGGTTTTGTTAAGCTTGACTTGATATTGAATATCGTCAAATAAATTTTCTGCTTCCTTTCATCCCATTATTAATGGGATAGAGTTCATGGATCAGTTTTCTTATATCAAACCAAATTGGCATTCCTGGGACAATTCCAACTAGGTCACCGTGTATTTATTTCACTCAAGATTTTTGCGTCTGTAGTCATTGAGATTAGCCTATAATTGTTCTTGTCCTAGTTTGCTTTACGTGCTAGTTTTGTAGTAAGCTTACTCATATTTCTATATTCTGAAATAATATATGTGAGATGAAATTAACAGTTTTTAAATGTTTCGTGATATTGCATCGTGGGAAAGTTACTGATTCGATTCCTTTAATGTCTGCTGCTTTGGTTGATCTTGGGGTAATATTTTTCTAGAAATATCTCCATTTCATCTTAAGGTTTGAAATATCTTGGCTAAATGTTGCCCATAATCTCTCACCTTAATTTTTGCTGCATATGTTGATTATTCCTAATATTGTTTATTTATACTCCTCCCCCCCCCCACCCCCTTTTTGGGGTCATTTTTCCAAAATCATTTTTATTACGATTTTCCAAGAACCACAATTTGTCTTGGTGCAACTTCTCTTTTCTACTTCTATTTTCTATTTCATTTCCTTTCCTTTCTTTCAACCCTTCTCTGTCAACATCTTTGTTTTTTTGTTTGTTTGTTTGTTTGTTTTATAATCACCACCCGAGGATATTTTTCCATTGATTTTTAGAGAAAGTAGAAGAGAGAGGGAAAGACAGAGAGAAATATTGATGTGAGAGAAACACACATCAATTGGTTGCCTCCTGCGTGAGCCCGACCAGGGCTCAGGCCGGGGAGGAGCCTGCAACTGAGGTACATGGGAATCAAACCTGGGACCCTTTGGTCCACAGGGTGAAGCTCTATCCACTGAGCCAAACCAGCGAGGGCTCTGTCAATGTCTTTGGATTTCATCTCTTGTCCTTTAAATGTTTCTTTCTTCAGATGCTTACCTCATTCCAACTTTTCTCCTTTTCTATTATAAGCAGTTGAGTAACAAATTTCTTATGTAAGCACTGATTTATCTGCAACCCATGAATTTTAATGTCTATTATTATTCACATCCTGATCTTTTTCATTTCTTTTACTTTTTAATCTCTCCTATGATTTATGTAGAAGCATGTTTTAAATTTTTCAATTGTATGACATATTTAAACATCTGTTTTTTGTTATTGATTTCTAATTTAATTGCATTGTGGTTGTAAAAAGCCCGAGTTTGAGTCTTTTCTGGTTGTTGAGGCCTCACACTTGGTCAGTTTTGTAAATGTTCTTTAAGTAATTGAAGAGACTGTGTATTCTCCAGCTCTTAGTTGCAGAGTCTACCTATTTCCATCAGATCAGACTTGTTGATTGTGTCGTCCAAATCTTCCCACCACTAGGGATTTTAGGGTCGGCTTGTTGTAACCTTTGTTGAGAGAGACATATCACTTCTTTGTGCCTTGCTTTCCTTGTCGGTACAACGGGAATACAGCGCAGAGGGCTGGTGGGTGTACTCAGGGAGTTAATATGTGCAAGATCTTCCCAGCCGATATGGCAGTGGCCAGTGATCAGTAAGCTAACTGGTGTGATGATAACAGTGGAAGGTTTGCCATTTCCTGTCAGTTTGCTCTGCTACTGTGAAGTTATTTTATTAAGAAATACAGTTTAGAACTGTAATATCTTCCATGAGATTGAACTTGTCGTCAGTGTCACTTTCTTTCCACGCTCATGCTTTATGCCTTGAAGCCTAGTTTACCTGCTTTGGGGGGTTAGCTTTGCCGGGCACATCTTTCCCAGACTGTCTGCCCCATGTGCTGTTGTGAGAAAGCTTCCCCGTGGTTGCTCCCAAACATTCATGTGAAAACTTGCTGTGGACTAGGGAGACTTCCCTGTCATACCATCATCGCCCTGTATTTCAGCCACGTAAGAAAGTGTAACTTCCAGCAGACTAGCATGTGAGAGAGACCCATCTATGTGTGATTATCAGTGTACGTTGCTTTGAATTTTATCTGTGGCCTACGTTCAGCGTGGGTTCTCCAGGGAGCTGGCAGCACCTGGGGTCACTACCCAGCCAGGACTGCATCAATCTAAGTTTTCCAACTTGGGTTTGGGATCCACACAGGCTGTGTGAGTTCTGACCCTTTGTGGTTCAAAAATTTCCAGGATGACTTTTTTCTTTGTTTTTCTTTCTTGGTTAGATCCAAGGTAGCTAAGTTATCAAAAGTACAATAGCTTGCCCGGCCAGTGTGGCTCAGTGGTTGGGATCAACCTATGAACCAGGATGTCACGGTTCGATTCCGGGTCCTGGTCAGGGCACATGCCCAAGTTGTGCGATAGATCCCCAGTGTGGGACATGCAGGAGGTAGCCGATCAATGATTCTCTCTCATCATGGATGTTTCTCTCTCTCTCCCTCTCCCTTCCTCTCTGAAACCAATAATATATATATTTTTTAAGTACAATAGCTGGACCTAAAGGCAGCTGTGGGACTTGATAGGGACTGCCGATTGGATTGCTCTCCTCAACTTTTTAAATCTTTCCAGGGATGCGTAATTCTTCCTTGTACTGAGAGCAGTCTTTTGTTTCACTTACCTCCTCCCCAAGGATACGATAAATTACCCAGTTTTGGCATCACAAACACTGAAGCTGGTAGAGCAGGGTCTACACCAGTGATGGCGAACCTTTTGAGCTCGGCGTGTCAGCATTTTGAAAATCCTAACTTAACTCTGGTGCCGTGTCACATATAGAAATTTTTTTATATTTGCAACCATAGTAAAACAAAGATTTATATTTTTGATACTTATTTTATATATTTAAATGCCATTTAACAAAGAAAAATCAACCAAAAAAATGAGTTCGCGTGTCACCTCTGACACGCGTGTCATAGGTTCGCCATCACTGGTCTCCACACTGGAATCCTTAAGCTACTTTGCTGATGAAGGTGACTCGAAGCACTGTCATTTCCCAGGGTTTTGCTTTATCGTCTGCGAAGCCTCTGTCAGTATCCAGCTGAAAGGATGCAGGCTTTCAGTTCTTATCGTTACTTAATGTAATTTTCCATTTTGACTTTGGAAAGCCTTTGAATCTCATATAAATGTCTTTTCCCCAGTTTCTGCAAACGATTACATTACCTGGTTGTATTGGAAGTCGCTCGCCCTCCTTTTTCTAACAGCCCCGCAACCCTTGGAGTATCAGCCTGTGCTCACAGAGATGTCACTGCTCCCCGGAAGGAGGGAGGACTGGCCCGAGTTGCCATTTGCGTTTGATGACACGGTTGTTGTGAACCACGTGTGCACGTATCTTCTAAACTATAAGTTAACTGTCCCACACAGGGACTAGAGCCATGTTTTTCAGAAATGGCCTAAAACCCGCCTGCGTCCACGGAGGAC